AGGTGTGTGCACCTGGCCGGGGTCCCGGGGGCCTGCTCCAAAGATGGTGGCGGGAGTGGGGGGTAGGAACGCCAGCCGAAAAGTTCTAGAACCGAGGCCATTAAGAATTCTTTTAAAAAGACTTAAGACACTTTCTGGTTATAAAAGTGATACATACACACAAGCCTTCAAGTGAAAGCACGTGTAAACGTAGCGAAGGCCCCCAGAACGGCACGCTCTCCAGAGAGAAAGCCCATAGGAGGCGCGCCCACTCCTGCCCTGTCCCGGCTCCATCAACAGGGGTGCCTCGTGCTGGGTCTGGGGGTGCTATGGGAAAAGTGGGTGCACTCAGGAGCAGTGCAGGCCTCGGTGGGGTGGACTGGAGGCCATGTCCTGGGCCAGGGTTGCCCCGTAAACATGCCCCCCCTCTTGTGGCCTCTCCCACAGGGATGACAGAGCACACCAAGAGCCTCCTGCGGGCCTTCTATGAGCTGTCGCAGACACACCGGGGTAAGGCGCCCCCAAACGAGCTGCATGGCCGCAGGCAAGCCCCTGCCCCCTCTGGGCTCAGTGTCCCCATAAGTGAAGGTGTGGCTGCTGTCCCTGGTCCTCATGCCCGTGCTCAGGCAGACATCACAGCACCGGCCAGGGCCAGCTCTAGCGGCACATCCAGGTGCTGGAAGGAGCAACGCTGGGGCACCTTGACCAGCTGCTGGTCCCTGTGGGCACGGTCACCTGTCCGCGCCCCATCGGTCCGTCTGCGCTGCCATGCAGCGTACGAGGCCCTCACTCACGCGGGGTCTCGTTTGGGAAAGAGAAGCCCCGGCAGAAATGGCCCCACAGCCCCTGGGGCAGAGCTGGCCTCAGGACCCCGGTGTCCAGATCCGGACCAGGCTCTGCCCTCAGACATCGCCTTTTTTTTTCCCGGGCACGGGGGGGCGGGGGGGGGGATGAGGCAGGCTCCCTCAGGGCACGGACCAAGCTCCCTCACAGGGTCGGCCAGCTCCCTCCAGGGTCGGCCAGCTCCCTCCAGGGTCGGCCAGCTCCCTCCAGGGGTGGCCCCGCTCCCTCCAGGGGTGGCCCCACTCCCTCCAGGGGTGGCCCCCCTTCCTTGGGGCGTAGCCCCAGCTCCCTCAGATCCTCGAGGTCAGGGCTGGGAGCCTTTTCTCTGCCGAGGGCCATGTGGACATTTACAACATCATTCGCGGGCCATACAACATTATCCCCTTAAAAGCTGCCCTATTTGGTCAGACAGTTAATTTACTTCCCCCTACTGCCTTGGCAGGGCCAGACCGGATGGTCTCCCAGGCCTTATATGGCCCGCAGGCTGGACGTTCCACACCCCTACTTTAGGGGTGTAGACCAACTCCCTCGGGGTGTAGACACGCCTTTCTTGGGGTGTAGGCCCTGTGCAGACCTTGGCCCCCGGCCTGCCATGCCCCTCCTTGCCTCTCCCCCACAAATCCCCCCCATTAAGGGCCAGGTCGGGGCAGCCTTCACGGCAAACTTGTCATGCAGCCTTTGGGGACGTGTTCTCTGTGATTGGCGTGCGGGAGCCCCAGCCGGCCGCGAGCGAGGCTTTTGTGAAGTTTGCGGACGCCCACCGCAGCATCGAGAAGTTTGGCATCCGGCTGCTGAAGACCATCAAGCCGGTAGGTCACGTGGGCGCCTGTGAGGGCAGAGCAGGGGGTGGGTCATGCAGTTGGAGTCGAGCACCGTGGCCTCGGCCAAGGTTGACCTCCAGGTGGTTTGTGGCCCTCGCTCCCCCGCGGAGTCCCAGCTGCCCTGGCCTGGCTTCTCCTCCTTGAAATGGACAGACCGTCTAGCAGTGCCGGTGGCTCTGACAGTCCGAGCCGCGGGAAGGCTGACGCGTCAGTGCCAGTCTCTGTCACCCTGGCCACGCTGACCCCTGCCTGTGGGGGCCTCAGCATCGGCCTGCTCTCCCCTTCCTTCCAGATGCTGACGGATCTGAACACGTACCTCAACAAAGCCATCCCAGACACCCGCCTCACCATCAAGAAGTACCTGGACGTGAAGTTCGAGTACCTGGTGAGCGGTCTGCGGCCTCCGGAGGGCGGGCGGAGTCTGTGGAGTGGGATGCGGGAGTGGACAGGGCCCGGGACATGGGCAGGGCCCTCGCTCTGGACCTCTGGTCACTTGTAACGATGGGTTAGACGAGGTCCGTGGTTATGAAGGTTACCACGGGGTGTTGGTGGCGTTATGTTTAATGGTGACTCTGGTCCTGCGGAGTCGGGGGAAAGGCTGCATCAAGGGAGCGGGTTCCTCCCTGCGGGAGCCTCTGGGAGGCCGTGAGCAGCGCGAGTCTGCGGGTCTCCCCTGCTTCTTCGCACGGAACCTTCCCCAGAGCACCCGTGGGACTTGAGTTTGGTAAATGGCGGGCTGCCTCTCAGGCCCTTCCCACCCTCCCCGATGAGTGCCCTCCCCTGTGCTGCCGTCAGGGACCATCCAGCAAGGCTCAGCCTGCGTGAGGGGCTGCGTCCCTGTGCCCCGAAGCACTGCTGCCAGCTTCCCTGGTGCCCAGCCTGTCCCAGCAGGAGCCTGCAGGCCCAGGAGCCTGGCAGAGCTGCTCCCCTGGGTGGCCTGGGGGCAGTGTGGCATGTGGCACTGGGGACGTCGGGTGGGCGTCCAGGAGGTGCGGCCACTCTGACAGCCTGGCTTCACCTGTCCTACGCAGTCATATTGCCTGAAGGTGAAGGAGATGGACGACGAGGAATACAGCTGCATTGTGAGTGTCATGGGGGTCGGGGGCAGAGCCCTGGGATCAGAAAGGCTGGGGGTACCCAGCCTTCCCTGCCTGCCTCACAGAGCCCCAAGAGTGCCCTGGGTCTGTCAGGACACCACGTGGGTCAGGCCAACCTGGGAGAGGCCTGGGACTTGGCCGGGCTCTTATTCCTGGAGACGTGGGGCCGTCCCCTGTGCCCACCCTGACCCCTCTGGCCGGCCCGCTGTGGGACCGTCCCCTGTGCCCACTTCCCCCCCCCCGACCCCCTCCCTTCCCTGTGTGAGGTTCTTGCAGGGAAAAGGGGGGCTTTCCACATTCCTGAGAGGCCTTTTTTATTTTTTAAATCTGTAATAACTTTTTAAAATATACTTTATTGATTTTTTACAGAGAGGAAGGGAGAGGGATAGAGAGTTAGAAACATTGATGAGAGAGAAATATCTATCAGCTGCCTCCTGCACACTCCCCACTGGGGATGTGCCCGCAACCAAGGCACATGCCCTTGACGGGAATCGAACCTGGGACCCTTCAGTCCGCAAGCCGACGCTCTATCCACTGAGCCACACCGGTCAGGGCTGAATCTGTAATATTTTTGATACCAGGATCTATCTTATGACTAAGTGTGCATTTATTTAACGAGGCAGGGGTTTGTTTAGTTTTGTTTCTCGTGAAGCTGTGACTAAGTGCTTCTCCAAACCCCTGGCTCTCAGAGGGAGGAGCCCTGGTAGCTGTGAAAGGTGCCATGTGGTGCCCCTGCCCCGTCTGCCCCAGAGCAGATCCCGCCCACCCAGGTCCCTGATGTGCCCCTCCCCACCCCAGGCCCTCGGGGAGCCCCTGTACCGGGTCAGCACAGGCAACTACGAATACCGCCTGATCCTGCGCTGCCGCCAGGAGGCCCGTGCCCGCTTCTCCCAGATGCGCAAGGACGTGCTGGAGAAGATGGAGCTGCTGGACCAGAAGCATGGTGAGGGGCCTGGTGGGGATCGGGGCCCAAGGGTCGTGCCCTCCCTGCCAGTCCATACACCATCCTCGTTGTGGTGTGTAGATACCATCTTCTTCCCATTTCAGAGCTGGGAAAACTGAGGCCCAGAGGGAACATTTTAACCTGACATCCCAGGGCCAGGCCCTGCCATGCAGTGCTTTGTCAGACCCAAGAGGGAGAGCTGGCAGGAGCACAGCCACCTCCCAGAGCCTGGACTGGGTGGGACAGGACTCCCTGGGGTGCAGTCCACACCCACCCGCCCTGGCAGGGCTCCTCTGTTCCCTCAGTGGGAGCCTGAGACCTGGGTACTGTGCAGGCCCAGGAGGTGCACGATGGGAAGCCCAGGGCAGGGAGCGGGCCCAGGCAGGCTTGGAGGGCCCAGTCCACGAGGCAAGCAGCCGGCCCACTGGTGCCTCGCCACCCGCTCTCCTGCCCAGTCCAGGACATCGTGTTCCAGCTGCAGCGCTTCGTGTCCACCATGTCCAAGTACTACAACGACTGCTACGCCGTGCTGCGTGACGCCGACGTCTTCCCCATCGAGGTGGACCTGGCCCACACCACGCTGGCCTACGGCCCCGGCCAGGACGAGTTCACTGACGGGGAGGACGAGGATGAAGATGACGAGGACACGGCAGCCAGGGAGCCGTCCAGGGATGCACGAGGGGCTGCCGGGCCCCTGGACAAGGGTGGGAGCTGGTGTGACTCCTGAGTGTGCCCGCTGTGGGGTGCGGATTTGGGGGGTAGGGTGAGTGAGAGGATGAGAGCGTGGGAGCGGGGGCTGGGCCGCCGCGCAACAGGGTGGCGCATAAAGGCCTGCTGGCTTGGGGCGCCTGCCTCCCTGCTTCTCTGTCCTCGCACAGCGAACCTGGGGCCCCCAGGCAAGGCCACAGGCTGCGACCTCGGGCCTGGACACTGGCCTTCCCCCTCCTCCCCACCGCCCCAGCCAGGAGAGTTCGGTCTCTGGACCGGATCCAGGAAGGCGAGAGGGCAGAAGGGAAGAGGGGTGGGCAGTGGCAGGCGGTCCAGGGCCCAGTCCTGTGGGCACCTCCGTTGGAGTGGGGGCTGGGGGTGGGCCTGGGTCTCAGGTACACCTCGGCCCCCAGGCTGGCCCAGCCCATTCGCACGCACACCTCGGCGGCCTTTATTTATTTAATCCCCCAGCTCAGCCACTTCCCGGGGGAGGGCTGGGCGCGGGGCCTGTACTGAATAAACAAATCCAGATGGAGCCGGGCTCTGCAGCAGCCTTAGACCTGCCTCCCTCTCCGCTCCCCTCTTGTCGCCTGGTGGCGAGGTGGGTGGGCAACAAGGGTTACGGCCCTTCCCTTCATGTGCCTCACGTGCCTGGTCCTCACAGCAGTACTGCCGGCAGCACCGCGGTCCCCGTTCACACAGGGGACTCCTGCTGAGGCCACATTGGACAGAGACTGGGATCGACGTAGATCTGTCCTGTCCAGAAGACGGTTCCCCTGCCTCCTAGGCTCGCTGGTGTGTGGCGCCCATCACGCCCGCCCTCACCTTGATCCTTCAGGGCTCTGCCTCAAACTCAACCTTTGTTTGGGGATGGGCAGGACAGATGCTAGGTCAGGAGGCCCTGAGGACCCAAACAGGAGCACGTTCAAGGTGCCCCGGCCACTCCAGGTGCTCCCTTCGGAGGCCCTGGGAAGAGCCCAGAGGAGATGCACAGAGCACCCTGTGTCTTTGTTGGTGGGGCAGGCGGTAGAAACGGGGTGGCCATGTGTCCTGCCTCACCTGGACAGCCAGTCCCCTGCGGTGCCAGTATGGTGACTGATAGCAGCCCTGTTCCCTTTCAGAGTGCCCCTGCAGGACAGGGACCCACGCAACGGAGACCTGCAGGGGGTGGCCAGCAGGGTGGGGAGCAGGAGGGAGGGACGGGCTGTCACCAGGTCCACGTGGGTCCCTAGAGCTGTCAGACGGCGCCACCTTTGAAGGGGCAGCCAGCGAGGCCAAGGGCACCAACGAACTGGCAGCCTGGGGTCCGGCCGGCCGCTGTGACGCTGGGTTCCCCCTAACTCCCCTGTGCCTTGGTCTCCCTCTGGTACGGCTAATGATGGCACCTGCCTTGGGCTGTTCAGAGGACTAGATGAGTCCAGTTAAGGATTTGGGACAGGGCCTGGCACAGTCCGCTCTCTGTGTTTGTTAAAATGAGAGGGAACCATTGTTCTTGGGGGTGGAGGTGGGGAAACTGCAGGTGTGGGAGACCTCCCAGGACGCCCCATGCGGGAAGTAGGCGCCAGGGGCAGCCCTCAGAACCCTTTGGTGCCCACAGGGACCTGTGTCCGAGGCAAAGGCCCCAGGACACCCGAGTTTGCATCCTCGAGAGAGGGGCCCTCTCAAAGGGGAGGGGAGGACGCCTGGCAGGAGGCAGCAGGGCAGTGCTGGCCCCACGCCCCAGGCGACCACAGGATGGGTCGCTGCCAGCCTCGGCGCCGAGAGGAGGCTCAGGGCCAGGACTCACCCCGTCCTCGACGCTGCTCTTTCTCAGAGGCTCTGGGTCCCCCTCCACGAGCAGCCCCCACGCTCCAGTGGCAGGTGCAGCCAGTGGGCAGGGCTGGGGCTGGT